TTCTCCTCTCACTTTGGAGAGGCATCCATTGCCCACCTTTTTCCTCAGTTGAGCGATAGCCCTGGCTCCTGAGAGCTTTCAAGTTCCACGGTTTTGTGGGGGCAAGGCTATTGCTCTCTGTAGAGCAGCTTCTGACGCAGGGGTAAGAGGAGGTGCCTGACGCGGGTAAGAATTTGCCTGAGTGAGAAACAGATGTCCTGACCCAGGAGTTATTCATGTCTTTTTAAAATGCTGTGTATGAACCTTTTATCTCTCCTTAACAGAGTGGGAAAGCAAACTCCCCAAACCTATAGAGAGTCTTCCTTTGACGCTGCCTAGCAGGCGTGCACCGCATGGGCGCACAGTCTCGCAGGTAGTTTTCATCCAGGAAGCACCACAATTTGCCCTATTCACAAACCGCAGGGTACTATTCTGTTTCCAGGCTCCTAATCCCTCTTACACACAATCCCTTACAATTTTAACTGGCGGGGTGGAGGAGCAAGTTAAAAAGGAAGGAAAAAGGAAAATGAAACACAATGTACAGCCAGCCAGTGGCTGCCAGTTACTGCGCACACAATCGACACCAGCTGCAGCCCAATTAAACCCGACATTCACAGGTGTTCCCAACAGACTCTGCACTAACAAAACCACTTTCTTGAAAATACCTAAGGCTTTAACACAGAAGCTCATTTCTTTTTTTTTTTTTCCCTCTCTCTCTTTTTTTTTTTTTTTTTAAAGATTCTTTAAAGCTATTTAGAGCACTTTAAATACAAAGAAGCTGAAAAGGACTTTCAGTCCACTGGAAAGAGTTGGTGCTTAATGCCAGAATGGGGGAGAATCGGCCAAGCTGAATCAGCCAGTGTAACCATTGGTTTGGGGAGAAAGATGGTTTATGCTGAATGCTGTTTATTCAGGGAACAGTAACTGGTGCTGGGCATTTTATTGTTGCTGCGAGTGAAATGGGGAGGGAGGGAATAACTAGGTGTAAACCCATTTCTTTTTGGGACTCATCATTGTTTGCAGCATAGCTGTGAGCTTGTGTGTGGCTTTGCTTATTACTGATCTGTCTGTGTGTGTGGTTCAGATAGCAAATTTTAATTCTCCTTTCCTCCCAGGATAACTTGATACAGTCGCCTTTTTGACTTTGAAGTAGGATTCTAAATTAGTTGTTTATTTTCTGGTTTTAAAGCACTCATTCAGGTGATAAATCAGTCCTTTAAAGAAATGATAATCTGTTTTTGATACATGATTTCAAAATTATTTCCATGCTAAGAGAGGACTGCAGACAGCAGACTAATGCACAGGTCAGTAATTTGCTCTCAGTCCATTGAAAATGAGAATCGTGTTTGTTAAACTTACATTCATAATGATATTCATAACCAAACTAGGGTATATTCTGGTAGTTGTAGATTCAATAGTATTCAGCCACACCAGACTGGCATCTCTGCAGTAACACCCCACACCTCAGTAGTTATTGCTTAATTACCTGGTGCCTGGTCTATTGGTTTTTAATCACTGTTGTCGCTGAGAGTCACTTAATATCTTCATTACTGCTTTAACAGTCAATGCTGAAAGCCACTCCATATTCAGATACAGTCAGGAATAACTATTTTGTCCTTGAGTACATCAGGCTGCAGTTTTGCCTTTGGAACAGGACTAGGACATTATTCCTATTCCTCACACACACAGATCCAAAAGACTGCACTTTTTTTTTTTTTGTATTTTTTTATACGGAAAAGGTTAAAATGGTGATCCTGTGGATTTGTATTTTAAGATAATTAAGAATTCTCTTAAAACTGGCAGATACGTAACGTTGGTTCACAGCATTCATTTATAGAGGCAGGCAGAGGCTAGTCATGCTGATAAATGCAATGGAGGGAAAAGAAAATCACCCAGGCTTCAAATTCACAAGTATACAACCTAAATTAGATATTGTCACTCAGGAAAAGATACTGGAGGCAGTGTGAATAATTTTCTGAGAAAAACCATCTCACCGCTAATATGATGGCAAATACAATAATAGGAAAGGAACTGCAAGCAAACCCAGAAACACTGCTGTGCCGTGGTACGGCTCCCTCTGTGCCCTGCACGGCTGCAGCCGCTCAGCAGCAAAAGGGTAGAGCAGAACTAGAAGAGACAACACACATAGCAGACGGGCTGATGGATGGACAAGTACTGCAGGAGCAGGGACTGAATCACTGAGGACTCTTCACCTTGGGAAGACTTGACTGAAAGGGGATGAGATAAAACTCTGTAACATCATTGATGATACAGGGAAGGTGAATGGGGAACAACAGATGAATCACCGTTCTCATAACACAGGAACTAGGAGACACTTGTGGAAATTACCAGGTTTAAGACAAACAGAAGTGCTTTTTTTATGCAATGCATGATTAGACCATGGCACTCATTACAGGGTGAAGTTGTGGAGGCCAAAAGGAGAAGTGACTGAAGAAAGTAATTGGACAAATTAATTGAAGATAGGTCTGGCACAAGGTTTTAAAACTGATGATCTAGATGCAGCCTCTGGTTTTGGAGTGCTGCTAAGCCTAGGAAGGATCCGTACCTTGCTGCAAAGCTGCTGGTTTTCTTCCTTTGTTGTTAGTTAGCACTTGCTGCTACCTTCCCTCTTTGCTTCACTTGACCCAATCTGTGTTGGTTTTTGATCTTCGACAGAAATGACATTTAAAAACCCTTCAGTTGCTTGGTCTATTAAGAAATTTCTTAACATGACTGTGACAATAAATACCCGTGAAAAGGCAGTAGACCTTAGGCCAATAACGCAGCTGATTTCACCAGATGAATTCACTCTCATTTCACTGATGCCTATATTACTACTTGTGTTTGCTTTCCACGAGTGATTTAGCTTTACTAGCTAGTGAGAATGCTTGTGAGGGCTTTTTTTTTTTTTAAAGTTTGCATACTTGAAGGAAAAAAAAATAATCAAACTTGCCTCGTCCAATCTCTTACTTCAGAAACCTGATACTCTGGGTTAGCTAAGGAATGGAAACAACGCCATGTGACTTCTGTGACCAGACACGAGGGCCCAAATTTTAAACAGTGTGCCATAATGCCTGCTGTTTATTACTCAGTAATATATAAAAGATTTAGTCATGGTGCAACCAGGAAAAGAGAGAATGGTAATTCATGCCTTAAAATTCTTTCTTCTACCCTTAAAAGCAGCTGAAATAAACCTGAGAGGAAAAAAAAATTTTAAATCAGTTTTCTGGTGCTTTCTCATGTCTAGTAGTTTTCGGTTATCACAGAACTTACAGTTCAGTCTTCAGAACAAAATTAAAACAAAAAAAAATCCTTTGGAGGTTAATTATCATCACTGTTACCAATACTCTTGACAGAGCATAGAGAATATGTAAAAGCATCATCAAAAGTACCAGCTTGCCATCTAATTCTTCCTGAGAGTATCAGTGTACAAATGAAACAGGAAGAAATAAGACTGGCAGTGATGTTCCTTCTTTTTTGGATCTGCCAACTTGATAGTCTTTCCTCCAACTTCTCCTTCAGTAAAACATACCAACTCCTAACAAGTGATCATCTTGTGCTGTAGTGATACCCTGCTTTATAATTTTGATGCTGTAGATCGATAATGGTCTCTGAGCAGAACAGGACGGTCAAAACCTGCTGTACTGCATTTTGGGGCTTTTTAATAATGCCTGTGAAAATCCTTAGAAGGTCTCTTCCTCTTCATTTGGTGTAAAACTTGCCATTAGTGGAGGATTTATCAAGGGGAAATGGACCCCTCCTTCATAGGTTTAAACACCTTAAAGGTTTGGAGTCCAGGATTCTTGGGATCTGTTTTTCCATCAACAGTCTCCTCTCTCTTGAAAGACTTCTGGGTTTGGTGTTGAGCAGGGATGGGGGGCAGAGTTTCATCTGGTTTGGTGTTTCTGCTTTTAAGTAGCTTTATATTTGTGTAAGAGATAGGGAAATAGTCACAGTGTCTACTTGGAGAAAATCCTGAATGGAAGGACCAAGATCCCGCTGATGTATTACTTACTCAAGAAGCTGGTGCACTAAATCTCAGCTATGCTTCCAGGTTTAACTGTCTCTGAAGTCCTGAAAAGCATTAAAATGCATAACAGCAGTGTTTAGCTTCACTGCTCATTAGAGCAGCACAGAACTAATAGTAATATTGTTGTAACTTGACAAAGCCATCTAAATCCATGCATGTTTTCTTGTGAAAGCTTCCTAAACATGCTGCTAAATCCTCTAAAAAGCTACTAAACGGCTTTGGCAACCATTAGCACAGCATAAGCGGGGGAACTCTTTTCAGTAAGTGAACAAACAGAGAAAATATGCTGAATAGCTGGACAAATGTGTTTCAGCTGGCTCTTTCATTTACAGATATAAGGGAGCAGTCAATATCAATCACTGTTTTCCCTGTTGCATTGGAAATCACAATATCTCTTTTCATTCCACAAGCTCTTTTCACCACAGTAATGTGTCTTTAGAGTGACACTGGCATCAGTCTGTTTCCGCTGTCTGAAGTCCAGAGAGCTTAAAAACACATTGCAGGGTATGAGACCTTAACCCTCCTCCCCTTCCACACACCCCTCTCCTTCTAGCCTTCCTTTCTGAATTAATTGTTTTTACTTCTTTCCCAGCGTAAAGCTGAGAAAGAAAAGTGCCCACAGAGCCTGGGAATATCTGCTCTTGCGCTTTGGGGACAGAAAAATGTATTGCTGGTTGTTGGAGTTTTAATTTATCAGGTGTTGTGGGGACTTTAACAAAAGGTAATATGATTATCAAGTTAATTTGCAACATACTGTAATATGAAATGTAATGTCACTGTGGTTTGGATTTCGAGCTATATCGTTTCTTGGATGTCCTAATCACCCACAACCTCGTTTATTTCCTAAAAAAAGTTGGAGAAACTCTTTCCTTCCAAGTATCTGGCATTTGGAGTGCGTTGATATTCTTGTGTTCGTTTTCTTCCTTTCAAGTAATATATTTTATAATAATAATGCTGTGTGTTGTTTTTTTTTTTTATCCTTTCTTTGTAGATAACTGCAGTCTGTAGAGAAGCAGCCCTTCTAGCTCTTCAGGAAGACATACATGCCAAATCTGTCATGGGACGGCACTTTCGGTATGCACTGACTGTTGTGACCCCAAGGATTCCCGATTCCTTAATCCAGTTTTATGCAGATTATCAGCAGCAAAGTGGACTGCACGCGCTTTGAAAGGCAAATTAATACATAGCCCCATTCATGGTGTGAATAGCAAATTTCGTTTGTAAAGCTGTCAAAAGCCAAAGAATTTTGTATTGTGAGTGGAGTTTCCAAGTTAACTGAAGTGCAGAATCATTGTAATAAATGCCCCTGTGGAAGTTTTGAGTGTAACAGATATCATCCAAAACTTTATGATTTCAGTGGTAAAATCTGCATTTTAGAGATAGTAAAATTGCTGGTTTATCTGAGTGTATATCCATTTATCAAAAAAACAATTACAAAATTCTGAATTTTTTGTCGATTCTGGGCCCTAAAGAGAGTAGCAACAGGTGTCATTACGGTCTGCATTTGTTCCTGCCTCAACCACAGTTTAATCCCAGGGACCATCCTAGTGCGGCACAAACCTGGGGAGTGGCCTCACTACAAAAAAATGCTGAAAATTATTCTGTATCTTTTGATTTATGATCCCCCAGAAAAGCTGCCAAACAGGCTTGCCGAACATATTGCTTTCTGAGATAAAGCTAAGGTATCCTGATTGATTACAGCGAAACGTTTATCTTTGGTCTTAAACAACTCCTTTTTACACATACTGGGAAGTAGGCACCTTAAAAACTGTACATCCTTTGGCTAACCTGAAACCACTGCCAGGTGTCAGTAAAAGATTTCTGTTGTTGCTTGTTTGTTTCCATCAAAATAAATAGGAACGTTGATTGGTAAATTAAAGCTGGCCACTTAAAGTCCTAATGAATCTTAATGTGTAAGAAAACCTCCTTTCAAAAACTGTTATAAATGACCACAAAATAGTTCAGGGACAGATAAAATCTTTTCAGTTTATTTCTTTGTTACATCATCTGTTGAAATGATGACAGGTCCTTATGGACTCTCTGCTCTTGCAGTCAGTATAAAACACAGTTAAGCAAACTCACTTTCAGCTTTTTTCTCCATAATAGAAAGACTTAGCTTTTCTATTCCGTATGAAAAATAGAGGGAAAGCCCAATACAAACTTTAACAAAATTAAAAAAAAAAAAAAAAAAAAAAAAAAAAAAATGTTTTTCAGGTAAGTAGAAGAATTTACAGGTCAAAATTTTAGCCAAATCCTGCTGTCACTTATTGGGGTAAACAAGAAATGTAATTTATATCAAGTTATTTTTGGATTTGTTTATTGATGATTCTGAATAGAATAATACATCTATAATGAATACATTATAGATGTATTCATGAGAGTAATACTCAGAAATTTATATCAATTTATGTAAAACTTGTATATATCTGAGAAATTTCTACTATATCTACTTACATTATTGATGAAATTTTAAAAGTAATCTCTTGGCCTTGATTATGGGTTTTCTCTCTTTACTTAGTTACACTCTGTACACAATTTGTAGCTTTTAAACAGAGATCTATTTTTAAATTTCAACTTTTCTGTTACTTTTACTTTAAATGCTATAATTAGCATTTAATTTTACTGTCACTAAAAAGGATTAGAGAATGAGGAAAAGCAGGTCATTTACTTGGTTCATCTGGTGTAGATGCAGGTTTTTTTCTTTTTTTCATTGTTTGACTTTTTAATGGTACAGCAGACAGAGGGAATTAAGAAAATGATAAACTGGCACAGTTGCCTTCGGAATCAAGACTGCATTTAATACTACTTTATCCTTCCTTTCTAAATTCTATATATTCCAACGTAAAGCTCAGGGTGCAAGCCATTTATCATAACCATTACATTTTTGATGTTTCCAAAAATTAAATGCCATACTGTTATCCCCTGGCCCTTCCTCCAGTGTGTGTTCCTGAAGGGATGAAAGAAAGACTGTGGTTTTTACTGCCAATAATGAATTCTGTTTGTAATTTTGTACCCTAAAAATAACGCTGCATGATGCTTCAGATGAGTAGCAAAACTAGATGGCCATTCCTTGGGAAGTGCTCAAATCCCTTGGGAACGTGCACCAAGGCGTGAACTGAGAAACTGAGAAAGAGGCATTTAGGAGCTGGCTGCCCTTTCCATACATGGACTCCTGTTGCCATCAGGGGGAATTCTGCACATTGAATTTTAGGACTTTAGGAGAGAATGCTGCCCATGACAGCTCTTTGTGTCTCGGGGGAAAAAAACCCATCCCTGCAAACATTTATCCTTTCATCCACATGGTACCACATTTATCCAAATCGTAACAAATCTCTTGATATATACCTGCATACCTGAAGGGATTTTAAATGTAGGAAGCTCCCCTTTTTATCATTGGGTTTGTGGAACTTGATTTTTAAAAAAGTAAGATAGTCTTAAAAAGAAAACGTTGTGGCAAATTAAGTTATGGCAAATTTGTTGCTCCCAAATATTCTCTATGGAAAAGTTGCCTAGTCTGATGCCACTCAAAATCTTACTCCATCCCAAGCCACAGATAAATCAGACTTAAGGAAAGTTATGATGATTATGATGATTCTTGTTCCTAATAACAGATTGCTGTTATCATGGACTATCAAATTGAGATCATCTTATGAGAATTCTGGAAAATAACCAAAAATTCAGTTTTGGTCAAAGCACATCAGCAATGTTAGTCCTTCAAAATCCAGTCTGGTGAGTGCTTTTGCACCCTCAGCTTCTCATTGGAACTTACTGATGAGGGCACTGTAGGACAGAGCACTTCAAAAGTATCTTCTGTTAGCCTGTCATTTAAGTGAGTGTTTTTTAATTCAGAGCTGAACTTTTCACAGCGTGTTTTACTGAACACATTGTGCCTTGGCACCGAATCAAATTGCTTGCAGTGTGAGGCCATATAAGCCTGAGCACCTCTATGCTTTAGAGTAAATCAAAGATAGAGGCGTTCTTTCTTCTGCTGGGTTAATCATGTTTATTGTTTTTTGGATGTTTCTGTGAGATTTAATTTTAACAAAATGGTAGAGGCACTGTGAACAGAAGAGAAGGTATCTCAGAAGAATCTCTCTCTCCCATCCTCTCTTTAACTACTGAAGTGGTTCCTAGACTTACTTCTTTATGTTCTTTAGAAATACAATCTTTTTCCTGCCTGCCATTATCTTTTGGAGCCAGTTTTTGGCCCAAATTCTGTTTGAGTTGCAGAACTGTTAACATTAAATCAGCTTTTCAATGTTTCAGACACATTTTGTTTAAATACGAAGTCTAACTTTTTCCTCCAATAACAACGTCTTGCAAAATGGCATAAAATGTCTTTTGACAGGTTTGCCAAAAATGACCAGGAGAATATTTATGCAAAAATGTCTTAACTTGAAAAAACGTCCTGTGTTCTCCCTAATGCATAAAACAGATTTCACTGCAAGTATGATATACAATTCTTAATCCTGGAAAAAGAATGAAGTTTACTGTGGATGATTTTCCCGTGGTCTCTAAATGAGAACAGAACATAAGGTTTACTGAGCTCAGGTGCGAGGGCGAACATCGGAGACAGAATAAAGATAACTTTCAAAGGTGGTTATTCAAAATCATTGAACTTGGACTTGCCAGCCCTTTCAAATATTGTGTCCTTAAAGTTGGTTTTTCTGGTTTGTGTGTGCTGGCTCTTTCCTTTCAGTTTCTTTACTCATTTTAAATGTCAAAGTGTGGTGGTTCTCCTTCAGAAACTGGGCACATGCCAAACATAATGCTCCTATAACTGAGCATCCGTCGATTAGTGCTGTGGGAAGGCTGCCTGAGGATGATGTTTCCCTGTGAAGCAGGCGTCAAACTCTGCTGAGGTCCAGAGAGGGGTGAAGAGAAAGCCAAACTGTAAAGCCTGGTGTTTTGCCATGTACTACCCAGTAAGCTGAAGCTAACTGATGGACACAAGTTCATGGGCAGGCAGGTGTCAGGACTGTGGATGAGAGTGACCCTTAAGGCTTTTGGTTGTTTCTGTCTCTCCCAGAGAAAACAATTGGTTTATTACCGATACTAGAAAACCAAATGCCAGTGGCTGTGGTAGCTCAATATCTAGTGCTAGCTAGGAGAGAACTTAGAAGGAATTGTAATTGGAAGATGAAGTCACACATGTGCCTGGAAGGCAGGCACCCACTGTCAAAACTTTGGCAAAGCCCCTGAAAGAGTTAGTAGAAAGCAGGCATAAAGAACTTGTCTGGCTTCCCGTGACCACAAAGCTGGGACAAAACTGAACGTGCTTCCTTCATGCTTCTGTGCCATGGGATGCCTCCCATGCTGATGCAGTCAGGGGTGTGGAAAGTGGCTTGCAGTGGGATCTGGGTACAAACTGACCTGTGCCTTGACCTGCTCATGACATATTTGATGGGGAGGTCCACTCCTTGGCCACCACTGACAAAACCAGCACATGAGGAGAGAGGGTGACAGGGGGATGAAAATCGGTGCATTTCAGCTACTCCGAAGTGACATATTGGCCACTGGAGACAGGAGCCAGATGGCCTATGTAGCGTTTTTTGTAGCTGCTCTGAACTCTGTCTTGAAGTCCTGGTCAGTGTGGAGCTAACCCATAAGTGACTTGCATTTGGAAAATTGGTTTTACATTGTGACCCTTTTGTATTTGTATTTAATGTTGTTGTGGTTGTAATGATTTGCAATAACTTTTATCTGCTATGAACCTCAAAATCTTTTGCTTTTGCTGATGCCTTCTGTTTTTCTTTGACATGAAAGAAAATATTGTAGGTGATCTAATGTGTACAATTTAATGAAGAGCTTTTTCTAGAGAGTAGATGCAAGAGGCATGCAGAATCACAATTGTAATTGGACATGTTTTGAATGGCAAGTTAACTTCTGAAAGACATATATTTAAACTGAAACCTACTCCTAATCTTGGGGTTTGTGTCTGCTCTTTCTGCAACTGCTACCGTTCATTTATTAATCTTTTCTGTAGGAAACTCAGCCATGTGTTTTCTCCAGGGCTTTATATGTTCTGCATTAAATACTTTAAATGGTGTCATTCTTCCCTGCAGACTTAAATCCATCCAGAGTCCTGATAGAAGAAGGAGATGTGTGTTTTCTCTGTTAAGTAGTCCGCCAAGGACGGGACCAGTGAGGGGGAGAGAGCCCCACTCTGTGTTTGCATGGCAGGCCTCCAGCAAGAGTGCAGGTGTTGCAAGAGAAGGCAATGGCAACCAGATGACATTCTTTCCCCTTCAACTAGTGTGGAGCCATTGCTCAAACAGATTATGGGTCCTTCCAACAAATTTTGAGGCTAGCGTGTTGACTGCATGTGCCCGTGTAAAACCCATGGCAATAAAGCTTGGATTCATCTAACAAAAAGATTAGGGGAGCAGAATTGCTCTTGGTTCCCTTGGCACGTATTGCAGTTGAGATGCTAGAAAATGATCCAGACAGGGATTTGTCCCAGCCAAGAGCTCAGCTACCTTTATGGAGGTGCTAAAGGCGTAGCTGATGTCAAGAGAGGCCCCTAGGCACTCTATCTAGAGAAAATGCTAGAGGTAGATGGAAGGAATTAAGAGCAGTAACTCCCAAAATACTGAGAAAAATATTTTATCAACTTGTGCAAATATATCCTGTTTGCCTAAATAGTTTGGGAAATGCCATTGGTCTCTTCTTCTCAATACCTGTGTCTGTGTGGCATGGCAGTGTGCTCTTAACCACACCACACCCACACCCACTCCACCCCCCCCA